ATTTAGATCCACAAAAAGTAAGTACAACATATGATGTAAACGAGTGTTACATAAAGTATAAAAAAAACAGCAACGACATCATGGATTGTGAAAAAACTTAGTGAAGCAAGAAAGACAAAAACGATCCATATTTTATAGTCCATAAATCATTAAGATTTATAAAAAAAATGCTCCAATAAAATGGAGGTGAAAGGAGGCAATCTCTGCTAGAAGAAACAAATGCAATTGCGATGAAATGGTAAAAGGGCAACAAGATTTATATTAACAGAAGTGTGAACCAGATCAAGTCATAAAATGAAATGACTGAATGCATACCAGCCACCGGTAGAGCGAAAACATCACCAATTAAGTTCTGGACTTTGAATACAGTTATGGACTTCCCAAGTTCTTTAGTTGGCACATCCGTGCTACTAGCTTCATTTTCCTTCACTAGTTTCTTCAAAAACTCGCTCTTCTTATTAGTATCAAGAACTTCAAGAACCATTTCGACGTCTGAAGTGAAACAAGACAAGTGACCAAACCTGCACCCAGAGAAACAAGCGTTCGATTGTATGATCATAAAGAAAAAATGCAGAAGTGTCAAGTAATGATCATGTGTGCAATCAAAATTCAATATACTGGTAGTCTGGCAATGAAAGACATCTACAGCTCTTTGCCATTTATGCTATACGTTTACAGATTTTTGTAGGTGCTGTAAAAATGAACTCATTTTTCATGTCATGATTCATGAATAGACTGATTTGATAAAAATCACTACACCGACCCTTTTTCAAAAATTAAAGGCTGATAACCCAACCGTCAGCACGAGTAAAACACAGATCGACGCCATGTGTTCATGATCTTTACATCAAGATTGAGATGAAAACAAGAAAAAAAAAAAAAAAAAAAAAAGACGTGATCCGAGAATATAAAATGAAAGACAAAGGAACCAAATGCTAAAGGTAGACTTATCAGGGTATGATATACCTGATAAAATATTGAATGAGATCCTCAACCACTTTGTCAGCATCACCTTTCCCAAACAGAAGCTTTCGTCTGTCAATTTCAAGATGTGCCAAGTATGGACATCTTTCAGAATTACTATTGGTCTCCATTAATTTCTGTACAAATCTCACTGCACTTGACATACGTGAATCAAACTGCACAAAGAAGTTGAACAAGTCAAATGCTGTAGAATGTTTATTCGTAAAGTAAGTTGAAGGGAACTAAAGAAGTTACAAGTTCATCTGATATATGCAAATTCTTGGACTGAATAGATTTTAGTGTGTGGACGGGATCAGTCTCTTTGATCAAGATACTATCATCCTCCAGCAGACAGCCAAGGTATTGCAGTAAACTTTCCCAGTCGTCGGGACTACAATCCAGAGAAAGAAAAAGAAAAATTGTCAAATATGTGTCGAGCAAATCAGTAAAAATGATAGAAACTATGAAATTAAGCATTGAGATAGCAGATAAACCTACAGCAGTTATCATATTATTTTACATTCTTCATATGAAGAGGCTTCAACAATAATAGTTGTGACTTTTCATACTGCAGATGCAAAGATACCTAAAATCTTCTCAAAACCTATTACACTTAGATAACTAGAAAATGATGGATTTAACAAATCTGTTACTAAGATTCAATAGTCTACTAGAGTTAGATTAAAATTTAAAATGATACAAAATTCCAGAATATCAAAAAGGTTCATATGTCCACAGCAACATTCATCTTTACTAAACAACATAAAGATAAACCAATTATTTATTTTATCGATAAAATCCCAAGACTTGGTTGCTTTTATATTATTTTTTATAGAAGTTTGAAAGGCATACCATAATTCTAAAACTTTCTGAAATATGTCAGCTGCAGCAGCATAGTCTCCTGCCCTAGCAAGAAGCCTTCCCTGTCAACTTACAGTTACAGGAACAAACTTAAATAAGGACGAACAGAAACTACCATGGAGAACTAAATTGAATTACGCAAACAATAATATTCATGAAGAATATTTAAACCATCTAAAGAAATATTAAAGATGGCAGAACTCCAAAGTTCATTTTTGTCGATAACATTCTAAAAACTTCCCCATACATATCTTGGAATAATTTACCATTTAAAATGGAATTTACACATCTGCGCAGAGAGTATCCTTGGTGGGTCTGTATAAATAGAGTTATGAAAAAGGGAAGGGCATACCTAAAAAGGGTAGTGAATCATTCACAAAAATTCTGAGGATGTGTCAAACTACAAATTGTGTTTTTAAAATTGGAAGAATTTGGGTGAAAGCCAGAAACTAAAATCTCTTTCTTCTAGATTGTAACAAAGTTGGACCAAACTACCAATATATGACAATTGACGCAATATACAGTTTGTGCTCGCATGCAACACTCCACCTATCAGACCAATGATCTTAAGTTCACATGAGAAACTACTCAATATACGGTTTGTGCTCTTAATTGCAAAATAGATTGAAGAGCAACCGTAGTGGACTTGTATGGGGTGAAAACAAACCATATTGAAGGCTGTTATTGAGATACATTGCTAGAGAGTAATATTCTAAGGAGTACCTGTAGCCGTAGTTTGTCCACTTCAATCAACATAAGAGATCCTAAACTTCCAGAAAGAATCTCCAATGCATCACCATACTTGCCTTGTTGCTCCAATAGAGATATATAAACACTAAGCGCTGCATCAAATAATAGTGGCTTCAGAAGGTAAAACAATCCCCCAAAATCCAGAACTACATTCCTTCAAAGTACCTACTGAAAACAGTCGGAAGAGGAAGAAGAAGAAGAAGCACCTTCTGGCTCATGCAAACCGTGAGAAGTTATATGTTTCTTGAGCAAACCTTCTGCCAACTGGAAAAGCTTATCCCCCCCATTGCCACAACAAACCTTCAACCAGATCAAACACCATAAAAAATGTAATTATCAGCAAAGTGTAAATAGTTATGAACAGATTATATCATTGGCAAGGATCAGCAAAGTCTAAATTTACATGATCATCATATTCAGGAAATTGGTATCAGTGCTAAATATAACTGCATACTTATGAGTCAATTTGTATGGGCTTGTCCCACCAACTTTGTGCATGCTACATACTCATGTACACATATGAAAGGCCAAAAATATTATTTCAATAGTCTTTAAATATTTGAATAACAGTTTTGAACAAATACAAACAGATACTTTCAAAAGTTAAAATGTGAGGAAATACTGAACAGTTAGAAAGCATGTCAGCGATTTTGTTCCAGTTGAATCAATACGCGATAATACTTGGACTCAAAATCCGCAGACTATTTCTGCTTCAAATCTATCATAAATATACAAATCTAGATTAAAATAAAATTGCTATGAAACGAAGTCCCTCATACGAGTAATAATTAGTAACCAGTTGCTCTCCATAGCTATAAGCACAATAAGTTCATCATTTTGTGCAATTTATATATATAGCCTGAAAAGATGAACCAGTCCAGTCCAATCGGGGGGGGGGGGGGGGGTGCGTGTTGTAAATTAGAGAACAAAGAGGAAAAACAAAATCA